TAAAGAAGATGCAGAAAAATGGAAACCTGAATGTTGTTGGTGGGAATGTCAAATAATGGTGCAGCTGCTATGGAAAACAGTATGGAGGTTCCTCAAAATATTAAAAATAAAACTACATATTATTCAACAATTTCACTTTTGGTATATATTTAAAAGAATTCAAAGCAGGATCTTGAAGAGATATTTGCATACCTGTGTTAATTGCAGCATTATTCACAATAGCCAATAGGTGGAAACAACCCAAATGTTCATCAATGGCTGAATAAAAATGTGGCATATAAATACAAAGGAATATTACATAGCTTAAAAAAGGCATCCTGTCACATGCCCCAATGAATTTCAATTTTGCAATATGAAGAAGCTGTAGAGAGCTATTACATACCAATGTGAGTATAGTTAACACTACTGAACTGTATATTTAAAAAATATTTAAGATAGTAAATTTAATGCCATGTGTTTATAACCACAATTTAAACAAATTAAAAATAAAAAAGAAACCCCTAGAGAAGTTCCCATTTAAGAAAAATTCTTGCCCTGGATAGAGTGGCTCAGTGGATTGAGCACCAGCCTGCAAACCAAAGGGTCGCTGGTTCGATTTCCAGTCAGGGCACATGCCTGGGTTGCAGGCCAGATCAGGTCTCCAGTAGGGGGTGTGAGAGAGGCAACCACACATTGATATTTCTCTCCCTTTCTTTCTCCTTCCCTTTCCCTCTATCTAAAATAAGTAAATAAAATCTTTTTTTAAAAAAGTAAAATGAGATATTCTTCGATAACATGAATAATTACCTTCTCAGTTTATCTTTGAATTGTTATATATAATTTTTAAAAATTTTAAGTATATTTTACTGATTATGCTATTACAGTTGTCCCATTTTTCTCTCCCCTTTATCCTCCCTCCACTCTGCACCTCCCCACTCACCAGCATTCCCCCTCACCTTAGTTCATGTCTATGGGTTGTACATGTAAGTTCTTTGGTTTCTCTATTTCCTATACCTTTCTTAACCTCTTCCTGTCTATTTTATGCCTATCAATTATACTTATTCTCTGTACCTTTCCCCCTATTCTCCCCATCCCCCTCCTTGCTGATAACCCTCCATGTGATCTCCATTTCTGAGATTCTGTTTCTGTTCTAGTTGTTTGCTTGTTTTTTTTGTTTGTTTTTGCTTTTTAGGTTCAGTTGTTTATTTGGGTCCTCTCTCTTTTTTTCTTGATAGTCTGCTTAAAGGCTTGTTGATTTTGTTTATCTTTTTAAAGAACCAGCTGCTGGATTTATTGATCCTTAGAATTGTGTTTTTAGTCTCGATGTCATTTAATTCTGCTCTGATTTGGGTTATCTTTCCTTATACTTGCTCTGGACTGTCTTTGTTGTGTTTTCAGTTGTTGATAGTTATGAGTTTGTTGTCATTTTACTGTTAGTATTTTTGACCATCTTTTTCTTACATAAGTCCCTTTAACATTTCACATACTAAGGGCTTGGTAATGATGAACTTTGTTAACTTGATCTTATCTGGGAAGCATTTATCTGCCCTTCCATTCTAAATGATAGTTTTGCTGGATAGAGTAATCTTGGATGCAGGTCCATGCCTTTCATGACTTCAAATATTTCTTTCCAGCCCCTTCTTGCCTGCAAGGTTTCTTTTGAGAAATCAGCTGATGGTCTTATGGGCACTCTTTTGTAGGTAGCTGTTTCCTTTCCTCTTGCTGCTTTTAAGATTTTCTCCTTATCTTTAATCTTGGGTAACTTAATGATGATGTGCCTTGGTGTGTTCTTCCTTAGATTCAACTTCTTTGGGACTCTCTGAGCTTCCTGGACTACTGGAAGTCTATTTCTTTCATCAGATTGGGAAAGTTTTCCTTCATTATTTGTTCAAATAAATTTTCAATTTCTTGCTCTTCTCCTTCCAGGATCCCCATGATTTGGATGTTGGAATGTTTGAAGTTGTCCCAGAGGTTCCTAAGCTTCTCATTTTTTTTTTTTTGAATTCTTGTTACTTCATTCTGTTTTGGTCGAATGTTTATTTCTTCCTTCTGGTCCAAATAGTTGATTTGAGTCCCAGTTTCCTTCCCTTCACTGTTGATTCCCTGTATATTTTCCTTTATTTCACTTTTCATAACTTCCATTTCTTCTTTCACTTTGTGACTGAGCTCAATCAATTCTGAGAACATCCTGATTACCAGTGTTTGAACTCTGCACCAGATAGGTTGTCTACCTCCTCGTCATTTAGCTCTTTTTCTGGAGTTTTGGTCTGTTTCTTCATTTGGGCCATATTTCTTTGTCTTAGTGCACCTGCTAGATTTGTAAGGGGAAGAGCCTTAGGTATTCGCCAGGGCAGGGCAACCCTCTCTGCTGCATTGTGGCACAGTCTGTGGAGGAGGGGTCAGAGATGAAACAATGCTGTTCTCTCTCTCAGCTTTTGCTCCACTTTCCAACGAACTGTCCTGTGAGACTGGGAGTTACTTCCACCTTTGCAACACCCTCAGGATTCCACATCCAGAGGTTTTGAGTCTTTAGTTTCCCAGTCAGCCAGACCCTGCCTCACCTGCACAGTCTGCCACCTTGCTGTGGGTCCTCTCTGTCCAGCTGCCCATCTCCACCCCTTTTATAGTTCTTGATGAATGTTTCTCTAATTCCCTGGTTGTTGGAGTTCCACACAGTTTGATTTTCTGGCATTTCTGGTTGTTTACTGTTTTTAAATTGGTTGTTATCCTTCTTTTGGTCGTGTGAGGAAGTGAAGCATTTCCACCTATGCCTCCGTCTTGACCAGAATTCTTGTATATTAGATTTTTGTGAGGTGATACTTGATTGTAACTTGGGTGTAGGAGACTCTATTGGGAAGTGAGGTGTCCCTGAATCTGCTGTCACTGACCTACCACTCCCTTCCTCTGTATATGGCACAATAATGTGGAATTGGAGGTCTCTGCCTTAAAAGAGGCTAAAGGTACACAAGAGGGACCCCACTAACAACCTTTATAGGTAAACAATTGGACAGAATTGAGGCCATAGGGTAGCCCTTTCATGAAGCCCAGATGTTGGCATTGTGGTCTTGATGCAGTTTCTACATGTGGTATTGTTACCAAACCTAGCCAGTATGGGGAGGGTGGGGTCCTGCCACTAGCCACCTACCAGGCAAATCTCCAAAGACAGAGTTTGGTGGAAAAGAAAGGAATCTTTTATTTAATGGCAAGTTTCTGTTTAAAATATCTGGGTCACAAAAGTAAGGAGAAAGGAAGAGTCAGTATGACACCAAAAATAGTTATTTAAATATTTGTCATTACAATTACTATGTAGGTTCAAGAACTGAAAATAGCACAAGAACAAAAATCTGTTTACAGTGCTGACTATTAATCACCAAGGTCTTTAGAAATAATGGCAAGTTTCTTCTTAAAGCTTATTCCCTCTAAGACACCCAAGGAAAAATCACCCTGTCACCCTCTGCCAGCTCAGTTCAAGGTTGTGCCAGGAACCTCTTCTCCCACCCAAAAGTACCATGAATGTAGGTAGCTTACCTAATCTCCAGTTGTGGTTCAGCTTCAGGGAACTTTTGGAGTCTGTGACCCCAGGCCTCTGCTCATAGGCCCACACTGACCACTGTTGGCAGGTCTGCTGGCTACCATTGACACATCCCCACTGGGGGAGGGGAAAGAACCAACTTTCTTTTTGCTTTCTGGTGCCCTCTGTTTCATATGCACTGAAAGCTAGCGGGAGTGTCAAGCCTTCCAAACAATGAGGGTCAGTGTTGGCCATGTTTGCCATTGCCTCTCTTCTGACCACCATGTTTAGCAAGGGGGCAAAGTCTCCAGCAACAAGTTCACAGCTCAAACCCCTCCCCCATTTCCAGGGAGGTGTCCCCCATTACAGTATAATAAATATGTATATTTGGTCTTTGTTCTCAGATCCTGGCACAGAGCTCCTAAAACCCTGAGATTTTCAGGGTGATAGATGTGTCTTTTATTATTTATAAGAAGACGGTTTGGAGCACATGAGTTCATGCTAATGAGGTGACTTTCGGTGGGGCCCCTAGATAGCTTTGGGATGGGAGCTGATTGCCAGATGAAATCAACCATTTTGTTAGAGGGGGCTTTCAGCCTCCTCCCTTCCCTCCCTTCCACCTCTGGAAAAGAGGATGGTAGCAGGTTGGAAATTTTTGATTACCAAACACCAATGATTTAATCAATTGTGCCCAGGTATTAAAACCTCAATAAAAACCCCGAAACAACAGGGTTTGGAGAGCTTCTGGCTTGGTGACCACATGGAGATGCTGGTAGGGTGATATACCAGTAAGGTTTGGGGCTCTGCATCTCTCACTCCAAATATCTCATTTTAAGTAACTCTTCCATTTGGCTGTTCCTGAGCCACATCTTTAAAAATAAAACTGTAATTGTAAGTAAGTTTTTTTAGTCCTGTGAACAATTTTATCAAATTATCAAATTTGAGGAGGGATTTATAGGAATTCTTGATATAACAATTAGTCAGAAAGATTGGTGACCCAGATATATGACTGGTGTCTGAATCATTGCAGTCTTGTGGGAATGAGCCCTTTAACTTTGGGCCCAATTCCAACTCTAGTAGATTGTTTTAGAATTGAACTGAATTTCAGGATGTCCAGCTGGTGTCAGAGAATTGGGAGAACTGGTTGGTGTCAGAAAACATCTCATACTGCATTCCTTCTCTTGATCTGAAAAGAGTTCATTTTGGGTTTCTTTCTTCTTGAGTGATCCAATCAGAAGATGCCACCTCTGGAGAAAGGATAGGGATTCAGCCCAGCCTAACAGGAGAGATGTGAATGGCAGCCAGAATGACCAAACAGGGGGCTAGTGTTTGGACTATTGTGTGTCACATGGACCATGACCAGCTATGTGGACACACCAGGGTGAGATTTCCTGACTGCCAGTGCCTCATTCCTGCCTGAGATGTTCAGAGAGAGAGAGACCATGAGCCCTGAAAAGCACTATGTTGTTTGAGAGACCATGAGCCCTGAAAAACACTATATTGTTTTGTGATGTCACCTCTGGAATGTTCTGAGTGTTTTGGTGACCAAATTCTACATAGGACATATACCTGGCACCTAACATTGGTATGACTTTTTACTTGAGATAAAAAATACAATCTTAGAAAAGGCTTTTGGAAGGCTTTGACACCAACTACAATACCTATCTTAATTTTTGTTCAGATTTTGATAAAGTCCCTTATCAGGTATTATCTTCACATTCTTTCAAACTCAGTTTTTCTTTTTTTTTTTTTAAGATAGTTTTTTTTTAAAGATTTTATTTATTTATTTTCAGAGAGGGAAGGGAGGGAGAAAGACAGAGAGAGAGAAACATCAATGTGCGGTTGCTGGGGGTCATGGTCTGCAACCCAGGCATGTACCCTGACTGGGAATCGAACCTGTGACACTTTGGTTTGCAGCCCGTGCTCAATCCACTGAGCTACGCTAGCCAGGCAAACTCAGTTTTTCATAATGTCCATAACTTACAAGAGGAGATAAGTGAATAGAAAGTCCTCTGTTTTACAGGTGGGTAATTGAGATCCAGTGGACTGGGAAGCAGACATGTTATTTTCTCTTTTCCACAGCACTCGAGGCCACATTTTACAAGGAAAGGAGATGCCAGATCTGATAGCCTAGAGATTCCAATCAATGTGGTTCTACCTCAGGTATGGATAATCACAGAAGAATTTAAAGTACCAATTTTAGCCAGAAAAATCCTCCTCTTTCAAACTGTAGCAAGATGTTATAGAATGGACAGAGTATTTAAGACCTTGATTTTAATTGCAGGTCAGCTTCCAACCAGCTGTGTGCATGGGTGAGACCACTTAGTGACTGTGGATCTTGGGTCCCTCATCCCTCAAATGAAGAGAGAGGGTTAGGTGATCTGTAAGACCTTCCAGCTCTAACACATGACACTGAAATAAGCCAATCTTCTCAATATTATGTCTTTTGGTACTTCTTAATGTTCAACCACTCTGAATTTCTGGAGGAAAATTAGAACTGGGGCTTGGAATCAAATGTATGTAACTGAATCCATGAGAAGAAAACCAGTATGTTATATCAAGGGTTACAGGGTCATTTGGAGATGTCAAGGGAATTAAGACCTCCTATATACCAATGACAGGATAAGAGGGTGGGCACAGGGATCAGAACAGAGGCCAATGAAAGGAGGAAGTATTGACAGGCTAGAAATTCTCAGGTCTCCTTCTGCTTAGCAGCCACTTTCTTGATGGGGTTCTCCTGATTGGATTGTTTCTACTGCTGCTATGTCACAAAGGGGGTGACCTTACTTCTCCAGAGTCACCTAAGGCCCTGTTGGAAGACCATGGCGGTGCCACCAGAGGGGCTGAAATGTAGAGTGGAGGAGTCCAATGCAGAGGTAACTATCTGAAAGCTCTGTCCAGGGATGTGTTAGGGACAGTACTGATCACTTCCCTGTGGGAAGTCAGCTTTCATAAAGAGAGGGCTCTAGGAAAGCTCTCTCTACCTTAAGGATTTTCAGAAGAACACCATTAGAAAGAAAACCTTCAGCATTCCTTCTATAGGTGGAGGTAATTGTAACAATCTAGGTAAATATGTTCAGCAGGAGGAAAAACTATAGGACAAAAAACATATTCTGGCTATTTGTTTTCACATTTTTCTATAACTTTGTGATGAACAGCTGCTTCTCTGTTTCAGCTCATGAAGCTTAGAATACCAGCTAACTTTCTCTGAATTGTTAGACAAGATGGCTTCTCACAGGGTTCCTACAGCTGTAGGAACCTAGATTTAGGTCTGATTCTTTCTACCTGAAATACATGTGTCACTCTGTTGGCTGCTACCCTCGTGATGGCAGGTGTTGCTCCTTTGATTTGTTCACAGCTCAGATAAATCAATGTTTGTTTTGCCAAGGGACAGGTGGAGGGTGCCAACCTAATGATGGGGTTGGGGAAGGGGGCCCAGAAATAGTAGTGAAATAGTGATTATGTGATAGAGTGATAGAGAAGTCTTAAATCTAGCATAACTCTCCCTGCCTACCTCCCAGAAATAACTCAGCATTAAGAAGGAGAGGCAGGGGAAAAGAACTGGAGAGTGGTTAAAAAAGGCTCAAGTGCCCTGGCTGGTGTGGCTCAGTTGGTTGTAGTGTTGTCCTGTAAACTGAAAGGTTGTGGGTTTAGTCCCGGTTAGGGTGCATATGACAGGCAACTAATTGATGCTTCTCTTGCATTGATGTTTCTCTTCCTCTCTCTCCCTCCCTTCCCTTGTCTCTAAAGTCAATAAGCATGTCCTCAGTGAGGATTAAAAATAAAAAAATGCTCGAGCCATCCACTTCCTGTGCTGCAGGATCCAATGCTGCTGTGGGGGTCTGGGAGGGCATGGAGTGCATGGGTGAGAGGATACTTGATGCCTGGGCATGTGTACCCCTCATGGGCAAATGTGGCCTCATTGGTACATTTGCTATGCACAAGTTTTGCACCAGGTTTCAGACACCTGCCAGGATGCTCTAGGATGGTGCACTAGGGGAATGTGGGCGTTTATAAGTTTAGATTATCTGAAATGTGCCACCAGCAGGGCTGTGCGAGGGACCAAAGAACTTATTGGACCTACTCCAATGAGATGGTGGTTTGGTGGGGGGGCATTGATGTGGTTCACAAGGGGAGAGAACAATCAACTAAGCATTGATTTAATCAGATGTTGGTCACTGGGCCATGCAAGGGTGAGGCAGAGGTTGCATAGGTATGGGAACTGGGAACCCCATGAACCATACTAGTAATAAATAGCAGAACTGGAGTTGGGAGCTTGAACCCAAGTCAAAACCCACCCTCTTTGCTACACCCAATCTCTCTGCTGGGTATATGCCACCTGGCTGGACAAGGTCATGTTTTAGCCCTCTGCTTCTTCTCTTGCTATTAGGAGATCCCACCTCTTCTTCCCACATCTTACTGTTTGCCAGGAGCTCCCTGTATTTATTTGCCCCATGCTGCTTCATTCTGGAGCTGAGTCCATTCATTTTAAAAGGGAATTACATCAGCAGCTCTGTCCCCAGAAAGTGCCTCTGGCCCTCCAGATCCCAATCATGCTGGGTGTTTGGGTGTCTCAATTACATTCCAAATGCTTATGATTCACTATCTGTTATCACCCTGAGGTCTTTTCAGGTCTTATTGATTCCAGTTTTTCTTTCTCACATTAAATATTTGTGTTTTCTGATCTATTTCTTTCTAGCATATTAACTTGGAAGCCATCAAGCCAGTCACTTCCTGCCCAAGCTAGCTGACCTTATTCCTTTTGTGCATAACATGCATAGTGATTCAGTTTTCATAGGCATTCACATTTCCCCAATTGAGCACTATCTGTGAGTTACATGAAGGTGTTGTTTACTGCTAGATCATTAATGATCTATACCAGATCAGAAAGCACCCAACAGGCCCCCTTCATTCTAACCCCCAGCCAGTTGCCTTTTCTCAACCCCATTTGTTTGAGCATGTTTTGCAGAAGTTTGGGGTATTGCTGACAATACCCGTATCTCTGAATTGACTGTTAGAAGGAAGATTTCATGAGATTCCATGTTAAACGATTAGCTGAAACTACCATAACATGATGACATATTTATTCTCTTTCCTGGTAATGTTATAATTCTATCAAAATCAGTCACATTCACCTGTGAATTATCCTCTTACCTGTTCACATTAAAACCCACACTGACTTTATCAGACTATAGGGTGCTGAGTTAATACAAAAATGTGATAATGAACTTCAACTTTGTCATCTCATCTGAAAAATTAGTAGTGTATCTGGCTCTTCCTTCCAGTATTCTGGGTACCTCAGATTCTCATGCCTGAAAAGAACCTCAGGTGGCTGAGTGTTCTTTGACTGTAACCCTCAGTACTGTTGGCAAAGTATGTGTTTAAAACCTTGGTCAACACTCTCGGAATCTACCAGGCTTTGGAAATACCTTCTGGTCTGTGGTAGCCACACTTTTCTAGGAGTGAAGAGAACTTTAGAGTGTAAGCTAAGCCTGGTTAGTCACTGTCCAGTCCTGTCCCCAAACCCATTTGATGGGAAGCCATTAACCCCAGGAACTCCATTCCAGAAGGTCCCAGTCTGAGAGTTCTGTTCCTTAGAAATTCTGTAGCATCAGTAAGAGACTTTGGTCTTATCACCTCTCCTTTGCCCTTTGCCACCCCCCACCATTGGCCAATTTTCCTCCATGTTCTCTACTCATTATGAAGTTCGTGATCTGACAAAGGCACCCAGTCACTGGTGATTTCAAGCATTTTTCTTTCAGGACCACTTGTGTTTAAGGAGATGATAGGGAGAGGGCCAGGCCTGGTACTAAGGAAGAACATCCACTCATAGATGACATTCAGGCATCTGTGATGGATATGTTTGTGCCTAGGGGGCTCTTCCTGAATCCCTGGAATTAATACATCTTAGGTCACAACTGTGAGTGTATTCACCTGAGGGCAGAGTCTCTTAGCCACTTCCAAATAAGTCCTGATGGGAAGGTATAATGAACCTCATAGCCAGTTGTATTTCTCTTGTATCCACCCTCATATCCCATTTTTACATGAAGAAGCCAACATTTTCCTCTCCTTTCTACTAGATATGTCCATATGTGAGAGCATTTCCCATAGACCAGGGAGGAGACAATCTTTTCTTCATGGGAAACTTGAGCCATGTTTCTCTGGAGGCTTGCACTGTGCTGCCATAGGCTTTGACTCTGTTCCCAGGCTTAGCAGAACTTTCAGGGGTGTTCCAGGGTCTTTGTTAGCCCATCTCTCTCTTTAAAAAAAGATTTTATGTATTTATTTTTAGAGAGGGAAAAGAGGGGAAAAAGAAGGGAGAGAAATGTCAGTGTGCGAGGGAAACATCAATTAGTTGCCTCTTGTACACTCCCTGACCAGGGACCAAACCTGCAACTCAGGCATGTGCCTTGACAGGAAATTGAACCGGTGACCTTTTGATTTGTGGGACAACACACAATCAACTGAGCCACATTTGTCAGGGCAGCCCATATCTCTTGTTAGGGCTTGAAGACATCAAGGACGGATTAGTTTTGTTCATGAATCCAACACAGTAAAAACACTGGTCAAGGTGACCTACTGAGCAGGCTCTGGCTTCAAACATAGGCTAAGGAGGCCTGGGATTTTGTACCTCATGTACTTACTTAGCTCAGATGCTCACTTTTTGGAAAGGCCTTTTGTAAAGAAATATATTCATCATTTGCTATAGGTCAGGAAACTTGTTTAAGCCTTACCAGTAGAACCATCTGGCCATCTGGTCTTTATGACAGCTTGCCTACCACTTCCTTGGTGCCTCACCACCATCTCAGGAAGTAGTCAGGGCAGCTACATTTAAGTTCATTTTAGAGGTGACATTCAGAGGAGCAAAGTGACTTTTTGAAGAGCACTCAAAGATATGGGACTTTTGAACCCAAAATTTGAGTTACTGACAATTTGAGGCCTCTACACTCATTAGACTATGGGTTCAAGATGGTGATATGGACAACCAGCACACATGAGGCATTTGTAGGCAGGGGCAGCTGCTTTTAAGGACTACACAGATGAACCCACAGTTTTGTGAAATTCACATGAGCAGACCCCCACTGTTGTAGCATTTATGTCATGCAGCAACAGCTCTGCAGTTTAAATATATAAACTGAAATGAGGACATAGCTTTATTAAAT